AACTTTCCTTCTATTCCTAGTTTTCTTAGAGCTTTTATCATGAAATGATGTTGGATCTTATCAAAGGCTTTTTCTGCGTCTATTGAGATGATCAAGTGGTTTTTGTCTTTGCTTCTGTTAATGTGGTTTATTACGTTTATTGATTTTCGTATGTTGAACCACCCCTGCATCCCTGGGATGAAGCCTACCTGGTCGTGGTGGATAATCTTTTTGATGTCCAACTCACTGTTTTTTGATGTCTGAAATGCACCTCCTTATCTGCAGTTGGCATCTTCCCTATTTCAGTTAACAACAACTCCATCTGTCTAGTTGCTTAGGCCCCAGATTTGGAAGTCAGATTTGACTCATCCCATCCTTTCATATTCCATTTTAGCTAGACAGTGATCTGATGCCATCTTCTACATAGCATCACATGCTGATCCCACTGAACCATAGTTACTGCTATCACCCTGACAGTGGCTACCCCACATCTCGAGTAGACTAATACAACAACCTCCGGATTCTCCTCCTTCCACCTTTGCTGCTTGTGTTCTGCAGCAGAGTCACTCTCTAGAATGACTCTGTAATATCAGGTTAAATGTCAGGTCCTTGCTCAAATCATCCCAGTAGAGTCCTGTCTCAGTAAAATCTAAACTACACACAAAAGTCTTCATATATGATATACCCACTCCTCCCTGCCTCAGCTTCTAGATTCTCTCTTCATTCATTGCTTCAGCCACAGCTTATTTCTTACAGTTCCTGGAAAAAGATGCTGTGTCTTTTCAGTGGTTCTGGCTCTGTCCAGACTGTCTCAACCCAGATATCCACCTGGCTCCCTATTTTGTCTCTTGACTCAAATACCACCTTTCCCATCCAATCTGCAGGTCTACTTGTGAAATATCCCTTCCCTTGCTTTATTTTCCACCTTAGTACCCATCATCTACTATATAATATACTCTACTATATAATTTCCTTTATTTTTGTCTGTCTACTGTCCAGAATGAAAGCTCTGTGAAGTCAGAGATGTTTGTATTATTTTTTACTGATGCAGTCCCAGTGCTGGCACATTATTAGTTGTTCAAGAAATCTGGCGAATAAATTACTGAGTTATATTTAGTGACTATACAAAGGACACAATGGAGTATAATCTCTTCAAATTCCCAATATATAATTTGATAATATGTATCAGAAATCTTACTCAGTAATTTCACTCCTAAAACTGATCAACGCAGGGTTTCCATAATTATTATAAGGAAACACTCCCCCAAGTCTACAGCATACCATCCTGAACGCACCTGATCTTGTCTGATCTCGGAAGCTAAGCAGGGTCAAACCTGGTTAGTACTTGGATGAGAGGAAACATTGTCCCTACAGTATCAAGTATGTGGAAAACAAAGAAAATTATTCTGACAAGATAAACCTCTTAACCTATGGTTCTTAGACTTGGTTGTACATTGAAATAACCTGTGGGGTTTTAAAATATGTTGATGCAAATATGTTGGTTTAGAGTCCTATCTTGGGAGATGCTAATTTAACTGGTGTGGACTGGTTGCCTCTCTTTTTGTAATATTAGCAGCCTTCATGATTATGACTGAGATCCATTCATTCATTAGGAGCTATAGGTGGTGATCCTGTTACTATTTCCTGGCTTATATTTTTTCATACACAAAATGAAGGGTTATAGTATATTATCTGTAAGCATTCTTCCAATTGGGACACTGCTCACATGGGAGATGTTCTTAGTTAGGGTTTGTATGGAAGCATTTACTGTTTTTTCTTGGTAATTTACTGGTATATGTTTGTGTGCATGTGTGTGAGCCTGACAGTGGTCCAAAATAAGAGCAGCTGTTTTTATTATACAGAAAATGAAAATTTCAATCCACCTGCCACAGCCTCCCCAGAGCTGGGGTTACAAACATGCCCCATGACTCCTGACTTCTAAGTCAGAATCCCATTTTAGGGATGCATTTTTTTTTTTCCCAAGAGAAACTATGAAGTTTTTTTTCACAGGCAGAATTCACTGCCTGCCCACAATCAGACATTGGAGATCAGATGTTGCTATACTTATCACCCTGCGTTACAAAGCCTTTGAACAATCCAATTACCCATTTAGGTAATTAAAGAAATGTATACCTTGTTTGATAGAAGAAGTTTTTACATATTATGTTAGTTTTAAAGACCAGCTCCATAACTGGGAAAAATCACTTCACATATGTTAGCTATTAAGTAATATATCAAATCTAAAGTATTTATAAGGACAAAATGCCTGGCACACAGCAGGTGCTCAGTGTGTGGTACCATTTACCATTATGATTTGTGTGGCCATTACACATTAATTCTGAGCCTTTTGGTTAAATCTTTTTTAAGAAGATTAAGACCTTTTGTTGACCTTGCCAATTATGTCACAAAGTGGATTATCTCTATAATGTTAGAACACCATGGTCCTTAATTCTTCATTGTTATATATATTAGTGTCATCATGCAACAAACAATGTAGTATCAAACAGTCCTTGGCGAGCTGTTTTGTTGATGTCATAATAATTTTAAATGGGTGTATAGTGCAAACAAAGTGAAAATGATTGTGGTAATCCCTAAACCAAAACCTGGAGTGAGCATGGGTACTGGTGATGGACAAGAGTTACAGGAAGACTTTACCAATGAAGATCTAGAGAACCCGAACTTTCTACATACAGATACAGCATTCTAGTGGATGACCTTCTGTAACGTACTTGGGTCTCACTAAGCAATACCTTTATGCAGCATTGTGGTGTTCACCAAAGTTCTGGGCATAAAGAAAGAGTTTGTCATCTGAGAATCAGTTTATGTTTTAGTTATGACAAATGAAGAGTGCTGGAGAACAAACAGCTTTTTGAAGGACAATGACCAGAGAATAATCTTGTGACTATGCTAAAGAATCAGCAAAATAATCATTATAAATTAACTGGGTGAGTTGAGTGACAGATCTTATTTAACTGAACTGTAATATTAGAGAAGATTATTGGCGTAGCAATAGTTCTTGATAGCCCCTTTTATTTTTATCAACCATAACCTTTGGGGAGTTGATTTGGGAGTTGTTATAATCAACTAACCTAAGCTAAAGAGTTCCTGTACTGTCCACCAGCCTATGTCGTTTCTCAAGGCTGCCTTTAGTTTTGGTTAATGAGAAAGCATGTGGTTGTCATTTCCTTTCTGAGAACTGCTGAGTTACGGAAGAAGTAGATGTTCAGCTGAGTTTTGTCCTGGGGGAGAAGAATTGGGAAGGGGTGGACCACTGTTCTGAGAACTAGCTTCTGCTTCTGCAAGGTATGGTTCCTCTTTAGAAAATGTCAACACAATTAGTATCACCAGCCATATTTAGTCCTTTTTATGGGGGCAACTGGTTGAGAATTCAGGGAGTGACTTACTTTGTCTAAACTCTTGGCCACAACTTTGCTCAACATGCTTACTATGGTTTGCTATTTTCCTTAATCTTTTAAAAGAGTTCATCAAATCTCAAAAAAAAAGAAGTCTGATTTACATATTGCTTCAATGAGAATGTTTTACCTGCATTAAAAAATATAGCTTTGAGCACAGTCCAACTGAAGTAACTGTCACATAGCCATGGATCATGGTAGAATTGGGATGTTCTTACCTGGATTAGGGTGTGTTTGGGGGTCCTGAGGTTGGATCCTGGTTCTAACGTAACTGGAATGTTCTTGTTTTATCTGATGTTGAAATAATGCTTGTACTATTATTTGACACCACTTTCCAATATTCTATCAGTGCCTTTGGCACCCTGGGCCTTATTTATGAAATCAAAGCTTCTACTTCCTTAGGGAGGTCTTGACTTTCTTGCTAATGTGGTAATTATTTTTGAAATTGTTTTCTAGGGCAGTAACATATCTATGCTTCTTGTTTGCAGATATTTGGGAAGTGATGGGTTATCTTTTTCTTCCTTTTTTTGTCTTTATTTTTGTATTTTAAGTGATTGCTGTTCTAAAAATATTCAGAAAAATTGTGCATGCTTCTGACATTTCTGTTAATGGTTAACTCAATGATTCTGTAAAGCCCTACAATACAGCCTACTGCTACTCCCTTATTTCTCACTCTATTTTGGACTTATAATTCTCCTTGAGTTTAAACCTAAAAGTTACCTCTAGACTAGAAAACTCAAGTTTGCCTAGATTCAAAATCAGTTTGGCCATTCTACAGCTATGTAGTCTCTGTTGAGTTTCATCACCCGTGAAATGGGGGTTTAAATTATCACTCACTACTTAGGGTTGATGAGAGGATTAAAAAATCATTTAAGCTTAAGTGAAAATTAGCTTAAGCTAATTATTAATAAAAACTGGTGAGGGAAAAATACTGCACATCTATCTATTATTTGCTAGGCACTAGTTTGGGCAATGTATTTATAATCGTTTTTCGTCCTCTATGAGGCAGGGGTCCTAGTTTTATTTTTCAGATTATTGAATTAGGGCAAGGAAGCTTAACCAATTGTTCTAAAGGTCACATGCTAGTTTCAACTATCAGTTAAAACCCAGATTTCTTCCTAAAGCACATGCTCTTTTGTGTTGTTTTCCTTCAGGTTACAATGTTTCAGGGTTTCCTGTTGCTGTTGCATGATTAATTCCTTTTAGTTGTATTTTAAAAAAGTGCAAATTAAAAGAAAAGTCAAATGGGGAAGGGTTAAAGAAAGATGAGTCGTTTGCAACAGGATTTAACTTTTTAATATTACAGTGAAAAGTGGAAAACTAGACCATTTGTTGAAGCCTTGCCTGTTTACAAGTTGCTGGGTGTCGAGTCAACACCCCCATTTTTCCGGATTTCAATTTAAACGCGCCTAAAATGCTGAGGCTGAGTTGATCAAGTTTCCTCCTGGTCCGAAAACTCTGGTCTCGCAGCGGCGGAACCTTCACCATCCCAGCGTATTTTTCTTTATTCCTATCAGCCAGCTCTGCCCGAGCCACGTTCTCACTCAACTGCACACTTTTTGCACCCACTGCGTCCTAAACTGAATCTTTAGACCGAACCCGAAGTTAGAAAACAGAAATCCCTCACCTCCACCAGTGAGCAGCAGCAGCCTGCAACCAGCAGGCCAGGCGGGGCAGAACTGACGTTATGCTGTGACGACGGGAAGAGGGCGGAGCCAAGAGAGGATTGGGGGGCTGGGGGCGGGGCCTGCGCTGACAGCGCCCCCCCCTCCGGGGGCGGAGCTAGAGAGGCTGCGCTGGCGTAGCTGGTCCGCTCCCGCCCCTTGGTTTCCTCGACCCTGCGCCAGGCGGGTGTGGCGGCGGGCGTGCCGACGCTGCGTGACGTCACAAGGGGTGGGGCTGTCTAGGAGTCCTGGGGGCGCGCGGGCGCGTTCGGCAGTCGCTGTTTGGGACGCGGCGTGTGTGGTTGCAGTGTTTTCCGCTCCGCTTTCGCAGTAACAGCCTGTCCCTTCCCGGAGCCTGGGACAGACTGGGCGCGCACCCGTATGTGTGCGAGCGCGACTTAGGGCAGAGGTGTCCTCTCACTGCGTTTTTCCCCCGCTTTTTATCCGAAGGGGGCAGTTCGCACGCCTGTTTTCCTGTCGCCCAGTTAGGAGCGGGGTGGGTGCACGGCGTAGTTCGTCGATTTTTCTTTTGAACTTGTGAGCGCTTTTATCTCCCCGCTGTTTTTGGTGCTTTATTTATTTATTTTGGCTCAGTGCCTTCCGGGCTGTTTTCCCCGGCCTCTAAATAACTGCTTTCGGTCCCTTCTCTCGCCACCCCCTGCCCAAGGTCGCCCCTCCGCCCAGCCCCTACCCGGGAGGGTGGGAAGCCTTTGCCCCGCCCTGCCCATCCGCGTCTCCGCAGCCGTAACCGCACCTGCCTCAGTATGAATGGGGTCAGCGACCCACCTCTTTTTATAAAAGATATTAAGGCCGGACTGAAAAACTTAAATGTCGTCTTTATTGTCCTGGAGATAGGTAAGTGGGGTCCGCAGCCCAGCCTACCGACCCCTGCCCCGGGGTCGACGAGGGGCGCCGCCGCCGCGAGCCGGGGCTCCCTCCCCTCCCCCGCCCCCGCCCACGTGGTCCCAGCGGCCCCCGCCCGGGCTCGCCGGGTCCCACCTTCCAGATGTATTAACGTTCTGTAGGCGGAATAGATCCTATCTGGATAACCTCGTTATCTAACCCCTCCTCCCCCTTTTGATTCTTAAATCTTAACAGGACGCGTGACCAAAACCAAAGACGGCCATGAAGTGAGATCGTGCAAAGTAGCAGATAAAACCGGCAGCATCACTATTTCCGTGTGGGATGAGATCGGAAGTCTTATACAGACGGGGGATATTATTCGGTTGACCAGAGGGTAGGTGTTCATAAAAGGGGTCGGGGTGTAATAGTGCAGAATCAGAGTTGGCTGACTCCCAGGATCCTGCCAAGTTCCTGTCTTTTCTGTGGGCCACGCCAAGAAGTTTAGAACCCCTTTGGTGTTAACTTTGGTGAGCATCATTGAGATGCAACACATCTTTGCAGTAAAGACAGTGGGCTTCAGGCAGGAAACTCACTCCCCCACATTCCCCAATATTACAAGTTAGTTATATCTAAAAAACGATTCTGGAGTCATTCTTTGTAGTGGATGCACATAGTCCACGTTTTATCTTCTTAATAGGTCATTTAATTCTGTATATTTATACAGATATACACCTCCTCCCTTAATAACATGAATTCCTCTTGATATTTTAGTTACGTTTACATTTAGTTACATGAACGTAAAGTAAAACTAGTTGAGGAATTTGGCTTTTGTTATCACATTTGCATTCTGAAAAAGTGAAGACAAATCTGGAAGACTCATTCTTGTAAATGATTTCTTTTGTTTTCTGTTGTAAGAGCATTGTATAAAACCAAAATGATACACAGAAATTGTGTGGCAGGACATCTATGATACTTATGTTCAGGAAGTTAATTTGGCAAATTGGTGGCTTTAAAAAATTTAGCATATGTGCTTTTGATAGACTACTTTAAAAAATATACCAAATCTTAGGAAAGGATAAAAGTCCAGGAAAGGATGTTAAAAATAGAATCTGAAAGCTTTGGTGGTCAATAGTATTGTAATGGTTTTATTGGTCATAACTATAGGGAAAGTAGGTAGAAACTGATGTTGGTTTAATAAAAAGAATCTAAGAGAAGTACTGGAGTGCTTTGAGTGTAGGAACCCTGAGCTCTTTGATACTATCTTACAGGCCTTACAACATCTGCAGGAAGTGAGGCAGAGTATCAAAGCAGGAAGTGAGAGTCAGGACTTAGACATTTTATTTCCCTACACTGACTCATTATGACCCTAATTATATCTTTTAAACTTCCACGTCTTTAACTTCCACAAAAGAGAATTTCTGCGTGGGACGGTGTGGTGAGAATTAGCATAATTGAAATATTTTGGGTCCCAAAATATTTTTCACCCAGTGATTAAGTGTTTCACACACATATTTCATATTCTGTAATGATAGTCATAGATGGTCCCATCAAAATATTTGTCAAAAAATTAAACTCAGAACTATAATATTTAAGGAGGGCAATTACCATGGGGGTTCAACTTAAAGGAAAATTCAAACCTGAATCTCTACTACTTCAGTGTGACATTGGGAAGTTAATACACTTTCATATTTTAGCTTCCTCTTCTGTAAAATGGGAATAATTATACATTACTTAAAACACTCTCTTCAGAATGTGGTCTATTGTAAGACCCTTAAATTCTGGTTATATCTAAGAAAAGTAGCTTTTGATAAAAGGCATACCTGACACCTAAAAATGGCTAATTTGAATATAAGAATATATATTATAAAACCCTGCACAATTATCTGAGTGTTCTCATTACTTAAACAAGTGAAAGTTAAATGTTTTCATTGTAATTGTTAAAAGTATTTTTCTCAAAATATCCATAAATTTTTCTCATTTTATAAGGTGAAATGTTAATGTACATTAACATCTGAGTGGTGAGTGTAGTCTTTAATAAGCAGCTCTTGTTAAAATGAATTATATAATATGCAACTTTCAAATTTTTGTTAACCTGTAAAAATAGATTCATCTCTAGATTTGGTTAAGCAATATGTAGTTGGAAGTCATTTTTAAAGTCATGAAGTTACCATAGTAGTTGTACAAAGACAGACTGAAAACCCACACCTTGAGTCTGGGGAGTGGCTTAAGTGGTAGAGCACCTGCCTAGGAAGTTGAAGCCCTGAGTTCAAACTCCAGTACTGCAAACAAAACAAAACAAACAAACTGGCCGATTTTTAAAATTGATTAAATTTATATTTTCCTTAGATTTATATGTAAAATTAGTGATGCCATGTGCATTCCCAACTGTTCAGAGTAAACAATCTTTTTGCCAGGTTGGTACAAAAAGTTGCAAATTTGGAAAGGCAGGTGGGAGAAAGATTTACAACCTGAGTTATTTTAGCACTTTAAGTTCTTCCAAACTGTCAGTAGCTTGTGTCTTAAGGATATAGAAGAAAAACTGTTAAGAGCGGTATGTGAGTGAACCATGCTAATCAGTGTAAAAATAAACACCAGAGTGTTTATTTTATATATCTTGAGGCTAAAAATTAAAATTCTGTTTAAATTTCTGCAGTTAAAAGGCTTTTTGTTAATTAAAGATATGATTATGAAGGGATAACAATGCTTGCTTTGCACAAAGACTTTTTGTTTGTTTTGAGACAAAATCTCACTGAGCTTATGCTGGCCTTGAACTCACTGTGCAGTCCAGGCTGGCTCCAAACTTGAGATCCTGCTGTCTTAGCCTCCTGAGTACTGGGATTACAGTTGTATGTAAAACTTTCCCTACTATTTTCTAGGATTATAGTTTAGGTAGTTACATCATAATTTGGCATTAGAATTTTCTTTGTATTATTCCTTCATAAGTAGCAAGTTAATCAAAATTAGATTTGGTGTATTTGATTTGCCATACTAGATAGAGGGCTTTCCACCTTTTCCCTCAACACAAAAATTATAGTATATTTACTTGACTTAAATAGAAAAAAATACATATTTCTGAAGACCTATGTTTTTCTCTCTCTAGGTATGCATCCATGTGGAAAGGATGCCTGACACTTTATACTGGAAGGGGTGGTGAACTTCAAAAAATTGGGGAGTAAGTATTAAAATGAATAGATTATATGTCTAACTGGTAGGTATAAACCATAAACCACTCTCTTGCCCTTTTTTTTTGATGAGTCCACTTCTTTGGACGCTTTGTATTGTATGTAGGTACTAGTTTAACAGCTATTAGTACTGTTGTCTGTGGTTGAGAATATCAGTTTGTCCTGGCAAAGAGCAGTAAGAAGCAGCTGTGGAGACCAGTCCCCGTGGGACCATTTCTGTAGACTTTAGAAAAATGCATCTTTCAGGTGTCATTTGAGGTAAATTCTCTGCTTGAGATTCACCAAAATAGAAGCTAGGTATGAGTTTGAAGCTGTAAGTTTAAATTTTCTTTTTCTCTGTGTATGGTGAATTTGTGTTCATGTTAAAAGGACTTGCAGCAATGAAAACTGAAGTCCTGTATTTATCCACAGTCTAGGTACGGTGCAGGCAGCCGCAATGCGAGCTTCCATACACTGCTACCCTGGTAATGATCTCCACCCTGACCTGGAGGAACCATCCTCTCTAGGGGTGTAAAGGTAATTCAGCCTCCATGCTGGCCTAGACGTTTGGGTTGTACTCATAAAGTATGGTATATTCAGTGAGCCAAATCATTAGTTCATTCTGTTTGGTTAATACTAAAACATCTACTTAATGCCCATCAAATTGGAGGGTAGTTAAAAAGAGAAGCCACAAATGGCAACAAAACAAAACAAAAAATCCCAGAAAACTCACACTGAGAGTTTATTTGGAGAGCATTGTTGGTAATGAAAAAAAGAAAAAAAAAAACTTTTAAAGATCAGAAACTGATCTAACACTTTGCCTTCACCAGAAGGAAAATTAGGATCCACTCATATTTATAGAGTAGTGCTATTAAATCTCTGTGTTATGAAAGGCTTCAGGGTCAGTAGTACAGGACCTATCTAGACCTTCATGTTTACAATAATGGAGATCAGTTAGGTGAAGAACCACAGGGTGTCACTCAATTCCTAATGGCTGCTCTTTGTCAGAGTCTGTTTAGGATTTCCACATACAGGTTCTGATTTCTTTTTAATGAGTTGAGGAGCTCTGAAAATGTTTATGTCATGACTTAGTGCATGTCATGTTGTCATAAAAAAACTTGGATGATTATTTTTGCAGATTCACAGTGGTTGGTTAAAAGAGGGATTGGATGAGAGTGTGTGGGCAAATGCAAATTTGTTACCACTACTGGAGAAACCACACAGAAGCCTTAAACATGGGTCACACATCAGCTTATGTGGAAAAACCAGACAGTGATGTGTTTCGGTGTCCTTTATCTTTGACATGATTAAGTTTTTATAATACAGAAAATTTTAAATACAGATAGAGCTATGTGTTAGAGATAGTCACATATTTGATGTTTTTATGGGATGTAATGATTTAGGAAGTTTCTGTTTTACATGAGTAGCATTGCTTGCCATGTTGGTATTAAGGTAATTCATTTGACACCTAAGTTCTTCATTCCTATAACTTAGGGATGTTATTCAAAAAGGTTGATTATTTTCAGGACTCATTTAATTTATCCTTTATTTTCTTCCAGATTTTGTATGGTTTATTCAGAAGTGCCAAATTTCAGTGAGCCCAACCCAGATTATCGAGGACAGCAGAACAAAGGGGTAATTAAAGTACATAGTATGTTTTTATGCCTGGGCAAATTTGACTGTACTGTAGTTTTATAGCTAGGCTAACTTTGGGATATCCAGAATGTAATGAAAAGAATGATAGAAATAATCCTGAAAGTAGTTTTTATTACATCTTTTGTGATATTACAGATACATGTTCCATTTAGCACTTTGAAGAGTGAGGAGTAATGTTAGCAAATGTAGGCTCTAATAGAAGCTATGAAAGATTTGGGGTATATTCCTGAGTGCTTTAACACTGATTGGAAGTAGATCTTTTTTAAAAATTGTCAAAAATAAGCTTTTAAAAAAGCCTTAAAATTAAAGAAAGATACAGTAGTTTTACAATAATGTACTATTTTTATCTTCATTTGGTTAACTTAAAAACTTTTTTTGTAGGCACACAATGATCAGAAAAATAGTAACATGAGTACAGGTACATTTGAACCAGTGGGTAAGATTTTCTTTTTTTTGGGGCGGGGGGTGGCAAGAGGTCTGTTATTTTTCTATTTACTTCTATAAAATGGCTATCATCTAGTGGTTATTTATAATAGATGCGGAATTAATGGTTGTTTTGGTACACTGAAAACCTATCTTTAGAATAATTTCTCTTAAAGTAGTAGTAAATTTAATACCTTATGTTTTCACATATTGTTAACTGCCTCTTTAAAAGATTAGCCTTTAGCCCTAAAATTTGCTGTTAATGATCCCTAGAGTCCTGTTCAAGGCCTTTTGAAGTCTTTTGTGATTTGAGTTGATTAGGGTAGCCGATGTTTCATTTGAGCTGTTGACATGTTTTGGCACAATTGATCACAGTCACGTGGAAAACGTTAGGATTACATTATCTGTAATAACCATAAATAAGTCAAATGCCAGTATTCAGACACTTGTATGCCTGTTCTTTTTTCCTTAACTCTTAGGGTATAGGCAGTGTATATCGTTTTTATTATTTTTTTTAACTCTGTCCCTATACATTTTTAAAACCCTTCAGCCTGTTTTTTTAAAAAAAAAAAAGAAAAAAGAAAAAAATACAGGAAAAAAAGATGTTTCTTCCCCCTAATACGTATAAGCATTAATAGTGTGTTTTGGAACTTCTGTTTTTCTATGGTTTATTATAGGCCACTTCAGAAAATATTCAAAATTTTCTGTTTTGTATTCTTTTTTAGGAAATGGTGTTCAGACTGGCCCGGAATCAAGGGGATACCAACTTTCATATGCTGGTAGAAACAATGGCCGGGGACCTATCAATCCACAGCTTCCAGGAGCAGCTAATAATCAAGCAGTCATGACCACAATGAGTAATGGCAGAGACCCTCGGAGAGCCTTTAAAAGATGACCTATGCCAAATAATCAAATGTAGTTTTTTAAACTACATGCAGTACTTGAACACTTAATTGCACTTTTATTTATAGTTAACTGTGAAAAATGTCATTTATTGATTTCCTTTTACATTTTTGGTTTGTTAAAGAGTGCTTGGTTTTTATAGCAAAACCATTAAGCTGCTCAAGTATCCTGTTGAAGAATAGGAACACTGTAAAGTAGGGGCATTTATTTGTAGAGCAAAAAGTTAATGGATATCCTCTAAAAAACCTGCACCCATTTCAGGGTGAGTTACTTAAGACATCATCTTTATAGCCTCTGTGAGTCTATCTTCTGTATAAATTTTGTAATATTTGACATAAAGTTTAGTGGAAGATGTTCTTTTGTCTTAAATTCAGATCTTTGCCAACTAAAGCAATAACCATCAAGCCCCCAAGAAACTTGGTAAATGGTAATAGCAATTTTTACAGGAATGACTGACTTCATTAGGTGACTGCTATTAAGATTTTTCCAAGGACTGAATCATCTTAAATTCTTATTTTATTACCAAAAAGCAGATTCTTTATCAGAATTACAGGATAGAATGTGATCTGTATTGTAACAACCAATTTTTAGAAGAAAGCTACATTTACTTTGTTCTAGGATAGAATTCTTAACATTTGTTATTAACACTGTGGATTACATTGAAGAAAAATTTAAAACTGAGGCCTTGAATATTTATTTTTGAAACTACCATGTTAAATATTAAAGTATAATTTGAAGGAGTTGTAATGCCATAATAAACATTGATCTGATTATTTAAAAAATAATTGGAGTAGATAAATATTAGAACGCAGATGATTTAAATTGAATTCATGTAGCAATATGCTGTCTTAAGTTATACTGGTACTTAGGCACATAGCCTACAGTGAAATAGTTAAATACTTCCTTTAGTTGAGGTGTATGTGTGTGTTGTCAAAGTTTCTGAACACAGTTCATCTAGTTTCATTAGCAAAAGTTAAATGACTAAGAGAAGTGATTGCAGCTTTATTCAGAAATGTTAAGTTAGAATCTATATGTCATAAATGATACCCACTTCTTTTTACTGTAGGGTGGATAACTGGTAAATTTTTCATTTGTTAGAATTCATCTCTTCTAAAAATATTACCTCTTGAATAAAACTTGTGTTAATGTTAACAGATCTACCAAACTTTTGCTCTTTCAGTGATGTAACAGTGGAAAGCCCAGTACATCTTATTGCAGTTATGATAGCTTGAACCTGGAAATCACTTAGCTTTATATTTGTTGCCTTGGTTTTTTTTTCTTCCTTCAAATCATAAAAGAAGTAGATTTTGTTTTCTTTAAGTTAGATAGCATTTGAATATAATTTGTGCCAGGTTTTTTTTTGCTCTAATTCAGTTTAACAAATATTTCAGTACATGATATGTATTAGGCAGTGGGTGGAGATTAAGGGTAATCTCAAGGAGTTTACTTATGGTCTACAGTTTTGGAGTTTTGATATTAGAGAAAAAGTGTTTATATATCCATATGTGAAATTATAGTTAATTTGGCTTTGTGACTGTTTTCTTTAGAGTTTTTACATTTTAGAATGCCCCAGAAGTTATCTAAGGATCGAGATAGCTTATATTTTATGATTACATATATTTTGAAAAAAACAGTACGAATTAGTATCTTTTAAAATCTTGGAGGTAAGAACAGTAAAGTTATTTGTGTCATAATACAGTGTTAAAGGTGCTTCTGACTAGTTTTGAGAAATTAAATTACTGTCAGTTGTGGATTGCTGGACTTTCAGTTCTGGCCTCATTTTCTCCTTACCTGTGATGCAGGATACTTGAAAACTCTCTAAGCCTTAGATTCTGTAGCTCTAAAAACAAGTAATATCACTCATTTCTGGAGTTAAGACTCCATGTAGATAATTAGAATGGTGTCTGGTAAATAGTGAAATGTTTGTTGCCAGTCGTCATGTCCAGCATAGACAAAAATGCAAAATTACATGTGGAAGTGTTACCCTTTAGCATGGTGAGATTGAATAGAAAAAGACCTAAGCCTTAACTTTTATGATTGACACTTAACCTCAATAACCTTGTTCTGTGGTTTTATTGTTTATTAACAAGTTTCTTTTTTCTTAAGGGAAGCCTCCAAAACCAAAGCAAAGGGAATTGCAGTCTGTAATGAGTATTTGCCTTGCCAACCTACTTGGACAACACTCCTCAAGAAGTTAAATCTTCTACTTTCTGCCTTCCTGGTGCTTTCACCTATCAACTTTGAAATATTTAAAACAACACCCTAGTGAAACAAAAAACATTTGGTATAGAAATACACTTCTGTTAGCATTGGGCCCCCATATTCTTCCTATGAAACAGTTCTGAAGTAGATCAGAGTCTGTTCAGACCAGTTTGTCTCTGTGGTCTGGGCAGGTTGGGATGGAGTTAGTTGCCACTGAATAGAAACTGAAAAATGAAATTCCTTAGGGCAGATGCTGGTACTTAACAGAAGGCTACAGTGTGCTTTTCCAGAGGCACTTCAACATCCAGGTTTCCTATAATGTACTAACCCTGATTTTGACTTTTCCCTTAGTTCATAATAGTTTTGTTTTAAAATCTTAGGATGTTAATTTGAGGATGTCCTGTATAGGTACAGTTCTGAGTATTTGTCACGTGTATCTTTATCATTCAGCATTTTAAGTGACTTTAATTTGCATGGTTATTAATGCCAAGAGAATGATACTGAAAACAAATCAATACAAATAGAAAATTAAGGTTATAATTTATGATACGACAGATTTATTTTATTGAAGTACTGGGGTTTGAACCCAGGGCTTTGCACTTGCTAGCCAAGTATTCTACCACTGTGCTGTGTCCCCAGCCCTTGATAAGAAAATTCTTAAAATACAGGGTGGGGGTTAACTTACCCTTGAAATTTTTCTCTTACAGTATTTATTGATGTTTTATTTAGGTCAGTCTAAGTCACACTAGCTGTTGGCTAGTTCACAATTTATATAGGGATTTGATATTTCAACTTGGTTACTGAGATGATTTCCCTTTTCTTATGACATTAACATAATGGCTGTTTGCTTCAAGCCATTTTAGGCTGTGTGTGAACCTCTAATGTATTTGGAAGTGTTCTAGAGACAACAAACTGGACAATTTTTTTTAAAGATCTTGTTTTCCTTTATCTCTTACCTTAAGAGAGTCTTTTTGATAAGTTGGCTTCAGTCATTCTTTAGTATGGTTGCTATGAGGGGATTAGGGACAGAGGTACTTGGTCATAGTGCAAACCTGTATGTTGAAGTTCCAGACAGTGATTACATGTTGGAATGATTAAGTAGTCCCACATTTCACAAAATAATCTTAGTGATTAACAGTTCAAGTATGCTTCTGAGGAAATCTAATTGTGACCTTTGAAAACAGCACTCTCATTAATAGTGTATTCACCCTGAGGGAGAAGCTAGAAAAACATTTTACTTTCTAGGTATATTTGACTTCTCTCCAGATGCTTCAAAGTTTGCTTTATTGGGAATGTACCAGAATTTGGATTCAAATATAATCAAATTAATCCAGGTTTCTGAATTAACAGGGTCTGTTTATGTTTCTCAAAGCACTGATCACCAGACTAAGGAACACACTAGAGAAAATCAAATCCAACTATCTGACAAGCCATTACTTTTTTTTTTTTTGCATGTTAACATTAGACCTAAAGATTCTAAAAGCTTTTTAGAGTATGATAATAAGAAAATGAACATTTTAATACTTCCAACTGGGTAAACATTTCATTTAAGCCTTATGTAAAGTCATGGTAGACAAACCACAATTTTATTGACACCCAAATTCTGAGAACACCAACTCAGGGCCATGATTCATGTTTCTATTGTTAAATGATTCTCTCTTGTCTAGCCTAACCTAGAAGGACTAGACGTATTTTTAAAAGGTCATTTTTACCATTTCCAACTAGAAATTCAAGACATACGAAGTCTCTTCATACATCAAATTTATGTAATTGGATGTAGGATAAACCAGTTTCTTGGTCCATATATTGAAATAGGATAAGTAACATTAAGTACATGTTGAATAAATTCTTGTAGTTTATAAACCACCTACGTGAAATGCCTCAGGAAGTTGTTAGAAGCATATGTCCTACTAGAAGAGAATTTGTAATTGTAGGTCTGGGGGATCTGCATTTGAAATACCCTGGAGATTTTTTGTTTGCTGTGCTCAAGATCTCCCTTTAAGGAGGTGACTTTGTTTTGAAAGCACATATGTATGTCAGTTTACCTTCATGAAGCTTAATATACTAAATTTTGGGTTCAGGGAAAAATTGTACTTACAAGGATGATCTTCCAAATTGCAGAATTAGTGGGTGAAGCAGTTTTGAGCAAAATAAGAGGTTGAATGTGACCTGTAGATGTAAGTACTGCAGATTCTGGGTTGGGTTCAGATAGGATTATTCATATTATATCAACACTAAGATCAGATGTGTAGTGGAGTCACAAGGCTTCACATGAGCCTGTTGTAAATCAAGTTGTCACTTTTTCACCCTAACCTTTGGTTAAAAAATTTTAAAGCACGTTTTGCTGTTGCATATCTCATCACGTACATCTTTAAAACATCTTCTATCTCACTGCTCTCAGTTCCATATTAGGAAAAGGAAGTTTGACCAAGTTGAAAAGTAGTGGAGTTTAGAGACATGATAAAATATTTCTGAAGACTTTAGAGCACACCTTTCATCCTCTATTTACAGATCTCAGCCCTGTATGGAGCTTGTAATATTTCTCACAAGTAATCTTGAAGGCATGATTCAGTTGCCCTGTGGGGTTAGTAGAAGACTTAAGATTCCTGGCAAATTGCTAGACCACTTAATAACTAAAAACAGGGTATCAGCCCTAGTGCCATCTACTGGATGATTACTACATAGTTTCTGTAGTTTAGGAATCTGGCTTAATTTAACATGTGGAGAAAAGGTTCCATTACTTAACTGGATAACAATTTTTGGTGGTTTTTAAAAGCATGATGTGGAAGATCATTAAAGGGTAGTGAAGTCATTTAATTCTACTTTGTGAATAAGCAGTACTCGGTACATCAAAAGTAAATTTCATTGAAGCAGATTAAATGTAAACTGCCCTCTATAACTATAGGAAATAAGGAGAAGTTGCCAAGTTTTGTATTCTCATGTTTGTCAATATCACTTGGAAAGTGAAAACTTTAAAAAAATGTCTTTTGGCAAGTGATTTGGTGCAAAAGAAAAAAGAATATGAAGCTGCCCTTAGAAATTTGATTCCTATATCCAGTGGTAGTTCATAAAATCTTGGCCAAAAGACTGCTGTTTTTTTTTTTATGTGAGTTTTGCAGAACATAACCTATTTTAAATGTGAGAATGTGCTTTGATGGAAAAAAAAAAAACATGGTTTTGAGCTGAGGAGATCTTTCCTTGAACCTTGAATCTGCTGTTTACTAGCTCAGTGACCATGTGCCTCATAGGGACAATAGGGTTACATACTGGCAATGTTAGGATGACTATGTGAGAGGTACGCAAAGGTGTGCAAAACATCTCCATACCTAAGGCTCAATACTAAGTTGTTTTTTCATGACCAACAAGAATAAGACAAATACTGGTCATTTCTCCATGCCAGTTAGAATTGAAGAATTTAGTTACGGCAATAAAAAATATTTAAACAGTTGGCCATGCTTTTGCAATTGTCTCTGGACAAAGAAGCATTTATGTTGATAGTATATAGGCTGGATTTTTCATTACAAAGATGCCCACTAACTGAGCACCCTGTGCAGTCCAGAGGATAAGGACCTCATTATGAAAGTTTAGAGGAAAGGGAGGACTTTTGCTTTACAAAGAAGGTCAGTGTCCGAGGGGAAGGCAGAGAGTGCACTGGAAGGAATTCTTTCTTCCCAGTGGCAACCTTAAGGTTGTGGTGCACCCAGAAGTGCAGAGTAATTTGCTTCTGATTACTAAGGCATTTGATAGCTTTTTCCAACATCTTGAAAATTTGAATTCAAAGAGCAATGTTGAAAGGATTTTGGTTAAACACTGATGTATTCACCACCTAGATTTTGCTTTACTGTAAAAAATCTATCACATATCCATCCAAGTGCCTAAGCAAACCCATGAAACTTACACCCTTATCAGGATCTAGACTATTACTATACCTCTAGAAATTTTCCTCTTGGGCTTTCCCAGGTCACATGGCCCCAGGTAGCCACCACTTACAATATTTTGAAAACTATCTTTAGCTTAACTAAGGGAAAAAATTTTATACATACCAAAGTCATCTCTAGATTTCTTCACATTTTAGGTTGAACCATGTCAGAGTACAGCCAAGCCTATCCCTCGTGTCTAAAAATTCAGTTCCAAAGACACACATTTTAAAATTAGATCCCTCTCTTTCTGTTCTCCCCCCCCCTTGCCTTCAATATTTGTGTCCAGCAACTCTGATTCTTGGGGGCAAAGTGCTGAAATGACCAACTGAGTTGGAGGACTTGCAGTCCTACGACTGACTGGGGAGTGAGCGTGGTTCCTGGGTTGCACCATCACTCTGTTATCTCTAAGCAAGTGGTGAGAGCCTATAGAAAGACATAATATGAAATCTGTTTGGGATGGACAGCCAGGAACAGAGCAGAGTACACTGGAACTCCAGTTTTCAAGTCAGGTTCTTGACTTGTCAGCAGATGTTGGTCAGACACTCAACATTTTTTTCAAGTATAAGCTGACCAGAACTGCCTTCTGCTTCTTGAAATTTTGTTCTACTAGTAGGTTGGGATTCAGAGTTGACACACGGAATGTGTAAGTTGCTTGCTAAGCACAGATCCCCCTCCTCTTAGTCTACAGAGACGATCCCTGAATGAAACACACCAAAAAAATTTGTTCTTAGTGCATGCACACATCCCTGTGTGTGCATAGAGTGATACACATAGTCACTTCCAATAGAGCTGTTTCTGTATTGAATATGTTTTTCATTCACATATCAGGTATTTTCCTTATAACTTGGGATTTGAGGGTCCTCCCAGTTTAAAGGACTACCTATAATTTATGGAGCACTAGTGATAGGCCAAATATAGTGAGTTACATACATTATCTCATAAGAATCCTAAGTAGGATTGAATAGTTTGCCTGTCATACAACTAGAAAGTGACAAAATTCCACACAACAAAACCTGTGACATTGATGCTTTGAGGCTCCTGCTGACACCACTTAGACAGGGCTTCGGAAGAGAAGACTGGAGTTGGTCATAAAATGACATGTAGATTTAGCCACAGCCAGACGGGAAGATAGAAAATAGAAATACAGAATTTGGCTAACATTTTTATCCAGGATTACTTTTACTTTAAATGCTAATACAGACCTGAGTAGTTAAAAGAAATTTATAATCCAGGATGTACTTTAGACGTGGACTTTTGGGTGTTGGGATAAATGGCCACTTCAGCTAATCCTCAAATAGGAAAAAATAGAATTCCCAATTTGAGAATAGAGAAAAAAATTGCTAACTGGCTCAAAATCCAGAAAGATTAAAGAAAAGATTGATAAATTTGATTACATTTATATGATGAAAAAGACAAACGATAATAAGGAAAGTATATAATTCATATTACTTATTCAGTTAATATTCCTAATACATAAGGAGCTTATAAAAGTATAGAAGACCAATTGTTTTGGAAAAATGGACAAGAAATAAGCACAGTTAACAGCTCTTGCCTTTTTAAGTGTATAATAGGTTGCTCAACCTCTCTCATACTAAGATATCATTCATTTTTAGATTGGGAAAAAAGTTTGAAAACACTTGGTGACAGTATGAGGAAACAGGCACTTTGATTCATAATTGGAAGGAATGCACAGCTGTGGATGTAGAGGGATTGGTTTTACATTTGAATTTGCCCTGTGACTAAACAATACTGCCTTTGGGCAAATAGCCAATGGAAAACTTCTGTTTGCATGTCTGTGAGTAGTCTTCACTGACATAGGGCTCATCTAAGTGACCTGCTTTACAGCAAACTTGATGCCTGTAGAAAATTGAAAAGTACTTGTCCATTGGTATTTGCTCTCTTGATATGCTTGGAACCCTGAGATTTCCATGAGAACATACTAATGAGTAGTGCTTGTTAGTCTACCAAAGAATGACAGGCCACATGAGAACCTTGACAGCCTGCTAATCCCTGGATACATAAATGAGCATCTTGGACTATCCAAATCCAGCTGAGTTGCCAGCTGACTTAGGTCACATGAGTGAGAGCAGAACATAACTACCCAAATTGCTGACCTATAGAAACTTGAGGTAATAGCTCTTTATGCTAAGTTTTGAGGTAGTGTGCTATACATTGCAAAACCTAACATACAATACTAAAGATACAGTGACAAAAATATGAAGACTGTTTGCCAAAGCATTGCCTATAATAAAGTCTGGAAACAGCTCTGATGTCCACCAATTCAGGTTTGGTTGAATATGCTACAATGTGTTCATCTAGTGGAATACTGACCAAGCAGCTGCAACATGGGTGGGAGAAATCTCTACATTTATGAAGTGATCTTTAGGGTATGTTGTTAGGTAAAACACAGAAATAGTATATGTAGTATTCTTGCTTTTATTTAATAAAGGGGAATATTATGTATTTTACTTTTTAAAAAATAGAATTAATGATTTGTTGGAAAGGGAAGGGAAACAAGCTAGACTTCTCTATATAAAAATTTAAAACTATTTTATACACACACTGAAGATAAAAAGTAGTTACATAAAGTAAAAGCAAAATAGAATGAAACTGTTGGTGTCTTAACTGTACAGAGAGGGATTGTTTCAATTATTTTTAAAAGTTATTTGTCTATGCATTCTTAGTTGGAATGTGTTAAGGTAAAAAAGAAGCATTAATGTTGCTAATACAGAGTTTACATACATTTTGTAGGTTAAATAAAATAGACATTTTGTTAACAGGAATCAACAAAAGATGTAATATCAAGGATGCTATGTAAATTTATAAGTTGTAATCAAAATTACAAAATTGAATAGGAAATATTACTATGAAATATTACTATGATTTCATAGTAATATTCTTTTAAAAAACACATTTTCTAGCCCTGTTCTGTGAAGTGCAGTAACAAGCCCCTAGGACTAGATTTTAAATGCATTTCCCATTAAAAGGAATAAGGACACCTTGGAGAAATGACAAGAAACGTACAAGATAAACTGCAAACATCTGGTTGAACCTGAAAGAAAGGAAGCTATTAAAGAATACTAGGGTCATTTAAAAGGGATGCAGAGGCCAATTTGAAGGGATTTGTTCTTGTCAAAGATGAAAAATATTGTATATTAAGATAATTCCAATAAATTGAAACATTGAAGCCTGTGTATGTAGTATACACAGTATGTATATACAAAGTATATACATACTTTGCAGGATGTTAGGAAGCTCATCAACTGGAAAGCAGATAAATTTAAAAACAAAGCAATTTATACTGACTTTCCTATTTAAAAAAAAACATGCCTTGGGGTAATGTAATAGTTGATATAGAAATTTATAAGGAATTTGAGTTAAAGAAGAAGTAAGTGCCATAATATCACCATTTTACTACCTCAAATGGAACAGTGAACCAAGGAAATGATTACCAATGTCTTCTAAAATCATTTTGAAAAAGTTGATGAAATTATAGTGGATTGAGCTGAGAATTCAGGACTCCCATGACCATCACAAAACACAGTTATCCTTCCATATCCTTGGGTTTCATATCCTTGTGTTCTGCATCTGTGGATTGAACCAACCACAAGTCTGTATTGAGCATGTACAGACTTTTTCTTGTCCCCTAAGCAATACAACATAACAACTATTTATATAGCATTTACATTTTATTAGATATTAAAGTAGAGATGATTTAAAATACACAGAAGGATGTGTATACATTAAATGCAAACACTATGTCATTTTTTAGTAAGGAACTTTAGCATCTGTGGATTTGGGTATCTGTGAAGAGTCCTGGAACAAATCCCCTGGATACCAAGGGATGACTAGTAGGACACCAGACATTCATTATGCACCTCCTAAAACAAAGCAACAGGGAGTACTTACCCTAGTATTTTATAAACCCAGTTGAGACAAAATCCATTCAGGTCCTAGAACTACCAGCTTACATGAAGGACAAGATATAGAGAACAAGTTAAACAATACCATGCCACACTGTGTGTGAAACCCTACAAGACCAAAAGGAGTGATTCTTCAACAAGTGGAAGAAAATATAAGAGGGAATAGTTGTGTGAAAGACACAAGAAACAAATACATGAAGACCTTATTAGAATTTTGACTGGAAAAAAGTTTTCATGAATGAAATATTCATCAGACATTTGGAAAAATTTGAGCAATGATATTACTATTAAAGAATTAGTCATTTTTAGGTTTTTTAGGCTTTGTTAGAAGAGTGTTTATTTTTCTATTGAGTTATCCCTTATAACTGGTTTCATTTTCCAGTCCAACTTTTAAGAAGCTTAGGCATGTCCACTGCATCCTAACAACTCACTAAAAAGCTGAATAAACTGAAAAAATCAATTTCTTTTTAGATCTAAGAGTGGTGAGGTCACAGGGAAAGCCAATGTCCCTCTTAGTAGGGAGAAAGGCAAATACAGAGAAACACAATTTAACTGGAGCAGAACTCTCCATAGGAATCAAGGCTCAGGAAGGGGCAATCCCAACTGTAATTGATGAAAAATTGGAGATTCACAGTGCACAAGTCTGAGAGAAAAACAACAGTGGGCTTTAGTCACTGGGGACTCCACCTTGCCCTTATGAGTTTTATTTCTTAGGGCCCTACTGGGTTCTCACAGTGAATACCAAAGAAGGGAAAAGTAATCATTTAAAAATACACCATAACCTTCTTTTTAATATGATCTACCTTCAGAAGAAACAATTTAACCAGAGCCTAACTTTCTGGGGTTTTATCAGTACCTAACTGTCACCATCTTGTAGCATATAAGGAAGCATTTGGGAAGTCCACTGTCCTGGACAAAGGTACTAAAAAAGACTGAGTCTTAGTTATAGGAATATAGAATATGTCCCAAAAATTTCCCCAGTACTTTTCCAACTGCATTATTAAATGCCTGTCTATAGTAGTTCCTTTTACCCATACATCATACCTGTATGTTGTGAAAAAATGAGACATGCTAAAGGTTAAACACACACACACACACACACACATACACACACACAAGTTTAAGAGACAGAACATGCATCAGAACAAGACCCAGAAATGGTCAGATGTTGGATTTATGAAGCCCAGAATTTAAGATGGCTGTGATTAACATGCTAAGGTCTCTAATGAATACAGTAGACAATATGAAAGAACAAATGGACAATATAAACAGAAATTCTAAGAAGGGACCAAAAAAGAAATGCTAGAGATAAAAAACAATGTAACAGGAATGAAGAATGCTTTAGATAGGCTTTTCAGTAGATTGGACATGACTGAAGAAAGGATTTCTGAGTCTGAGGATATTTCAATAGAAACTCCAACACTGAAATAGGAAAAAAAAAAAAAAGACTGCAAGGAAAACAAAGTAATAACCAAGAAGTGTGGGACATCTATAAATCCATTAAAGGTCTAAATATACATAATGGGGCTGTTTTGTTTGTTTTCTCAGACAAAAAAAATGTAGGGAACTCGAGGCATGTTTCAAATGGTAAAGTGCTTGTCTAGCAAGCGCAGGACCCTGAATTTAAATAAATAAATAAATAAATAAATAAATAAATAAATAAATATTAGGGAATTTGTTCCCAGGAGAGCTACCTTGTAAGAAATAAATGTTAAGTTCTCTAGAGAAAAACAAAATTACACTGGACAGAAACCTAGATCTACATTAAGAAAGGAAGAACATTGAAGAAGAAAAAATGAAAGTAAAAATAAAAACTTATGTTTCTTATTTTAAATCTAACATAAGCATGTTCAAAATAATATTAGCAATAATGTATTTGGGTATGTACATATTGTGTATATAAACATATATAGATTATAAGTTAAATGGATGATAGCAATGATAAAGTGACAAGAGGGAGGGATAGGGATTATTTTGTTATTATAAGGTACTTGCACTATCCATGAAGCCATACATTGTTGTTTAAAAGTGGATTTGGGGACTCGGGTTTGGCTCAATGGTAGAGCACCTGCCTAGCAAGTGTGAGGCTCTGAGTTCAAACCCTAGTACCTCTAAAAATTTAAAAATGTAAAAGTGGATTTGTTTTAGTTGTAAATGTGTATCGCAATCTCCAGGGTAACCACTAGAAATAAAAGTTTTAAAAAAGTGAACTGATATACTAAGAAAGGTGAGAAAATGGAATAATATTGGATCACAATCAAAACCTCCTCTATCAGTTGGGGTCCAGTAAGGAGACAGAAACCACGCAGTACTTTACACAGTGAAAGTTTAAAATGAAGTACTATTACTTAGTAATAAGGAATTAACTACCAAGAGGTAAAATGAACAGAAGTATAGAAAAATAGCAGGTAAAGGAGAAGCTGCTGCCTCTAGGATCGAGGCAGACCATCTAAGGGAAGAGCCAAGCTAGAGAAGTCCTTCCCTAACCTCCGGGGCTGAGATCCGGACCTCCTGGAGGGGTTGTGTTGTGGCCCAGTGGATGGCAGAGTTCAGTGAGGTGGCACAGACTCAGGGAGGGTTGCACATGGGTACTTGTAGCTGTAGAGACACCGCCGGGCCACCTCTAAGACTCACTAGGAAGCTGGATGAGTCACTAGAACTGACTGGGAATCTCCTACCCGGGTGCTGCTGAAACTCACTGAGAGGCAAATACCACTGCATCTCCTGAGCTGTAGCCTCTGCACTATAGGAACAAGTAAGGAAGAGCTAGGAAAATACCTGCTTCCTACAAAGTCCCTCTGGTGCCCTCTACCGACAAAGTTTGACATCCTGCCGGTTGGTTAAAAAATGTTTATGTGGTCTAGCTCCAGTGTCACACATTGGAGCAAAGAAGGATAGATTGATTTGGAGCTGAAGCTTAACAAATTGGTAAATGGGCTGAAGTATTTATAGATGAAATAAAATAATAGAACACGTGTGATTTGCTTCCAAACAATCCTGTAGGTAGATATAGAAGCAAACTTATTCATGAGATGATAACTGTTGAGGATGAGGGACTGGTATAAAAGGGTTTGTTATACTTTTCAGTTTTCTATTCCTTTCCACTATAAAAAGTTTATTTTTACCACTTTATTTATCATTATCATATTATTGCTGTACTGGGGGTACATTGTGACATTTACAAAAGTTCTTACAATATATCATAGTTGAATTCACCTCCTCCATTATTCTCCTTTATCCACCCATCCCCATTCCTGGAATAGTTTCAATAGGTCTCATTTTTCCATTTTCATACACGAGCACGTAATTTTTCTACTACATTCAGCCTGCAACACCCTTTCTCTATACCTCCCCTCTCCCACTGGTACCAGTCCCCATATAGGGTCTGTTTTACCTTCCTATTCTTTGTTTTATAAAAAGATTAAAATGTTAATTGACACATTATCTTCCTGAGGAAGTTAAAGCTTTATACTATAACAATCTTGGACTGACTGCTCAGAATTTGGGGGAAGCCAGGTATCAA